GCAAGATATTCAAATTCAATTGGCCCGTTTAACTGGGGATGAGCATCCTCGACTTATCCAAACACTTGATGTACGATTTCTACTACAACAAACTTAAAAAGCATTACGGCAATAGGTGCAAAGTGCTGTACACGGACACGGATTCCCTGCTCATGGAAATTCGCACCGAGGATGTGTATGAGGACAGTAAGAAACGCATGCACCTATACGACACCAGAGACTACCCCAAAGATCACCCCATGCACAGCCAAGTCAACAAAACAGTGCTCGGCAAGATGAAGGACGAGTGCGCGGGCACGCCGATTGCGGAGTACGTCGGCTTGAGACCCAAGATGTATTCCATCAAGAAAGCCAACGATGGTGAAATCAAGAAGGCGAAAGGCGTGAAAAAACACGTGGTGAAAAAACAAATCAAGCACGCAAGATTTAAGGAAGCCCTGATCAAAAACAAAACGTTCAAACACCAGATGAACATGTTGAGCAGCTATGGACACAGCATATACGGACTGACGATCTACAAGACGTCGCTGTCTCCCATGGACACGAAACGATGGATCGCCGACGACGGAATCACCACCTACGCGTACGGACACACGCGCGTGCAATGAATAAATAACGTGCAGGTTTTTACATGATGGAGAAAATATACTACAGCCCGTGCGGGTACTGGAAAGGCGCGGATGCCATCCTGAAACTCGCCAAAGCCGCTCGAGTCTCGGAAGAGAAAGCCAAAGCATGGCTCAACATAAAAGCCATCTGGCAAGTCTACCTGCCGGCGCCTCGGTACGTCCCGAGAAGAAAATTCGACATTTCGACACGGAATTACGTCCACCAAGCCGACCTCCTGTTCCTACCCCACGACAGAGTGAGGCGCAGGGTTGTCGACGTCGCCAGTCGCTACAAGGAAGCCGAACCGTTGGCAACCAAAGATTCAAACGTAGTCACCAAAGCCTTGGAACGCATCTACAAACGCAGTCGCTTGACATGGCCTACCGTATTGCAAGTCGATCCCAGACGCGAGTTCATGGGAGCCATGTCGCAGCTGCTGGCCAAGCACAAAGTATGAGTGAGACGAGGCATAGCGGGAGCTCACCGCAGCCAAGCCATCATCGAGAGATTCAATTGCACACTAGCCGAACGCCTGTTCTCGCATCAGTACTCGCAGGATTTGATGGATCCCGGAAACAGAAACACGGAATGGGTCGTGCGCTTGCCCCAAGTGGTGGATGCCATCAACAACGAAGTCACCAGACTCGTGGGCAAGAGACCCGTCGAAGTCATTAAAATGAAATCCATCGAATCGTCACTGGCGGCGGCACGTTGCCGCGATAAAGCGGAGAAAACATTACCAGAAGTGTCAGCGTTAGGTACTTATATCAGCCTGGCGAATACGAGGGAGACAGCAGAAAACGCGCCACCAATCCGATATGGTCCATGAAAACGTACAACGTAGACCTGGTCGACATCAAAGACGGCGAACCGAACTTGTACTACTTGAAAGACGGGCCGCCGAGAGCATTCGTCAGAGAGGAGTTGATGATCGTACCTCGCGTCACAGTCCCTTACAGATCATCCACTGCTGAATAATTGTCATGTATCTCCTATCTGACATGCACATCAAACAGTAGTATATACAACGGCGATAAAGGATAAGGTCCGTACGGATGGGCCTGGGAAGGGCCTGGTCCCGTACCGCCATTGTATATACTACTATACTAGGAACCATGGGGACTTCAATAATTCTATTTATTTTGAAAAAAAGCAATTATTAAATGATAATTTACATTATAAAATGATCCTTAATTGTTTTGACACTAAAATATTTATCCCTTGTGATGGAAAAATCAATACAGTCAACATGAATTTTGAACTTTTAAAGGTATCATCATTTCCAAATGTAATAATAGATTGATTCAAGTTAGAACAAGCACCATTGCCCTTTTCCCTCCGATTGTCATAAAAATAACCCGACTGCCTCTGTCCTGAAATTGTGTTATACCTGAAACGTAGATCTGTCTTCCCCAGTAACCAATCACACACATGTTGTTTGATAAAAGCTATTTGTGGAGACTAATTTCCTCTTTTTCACAGTCCAAAAATGCCACATTCAATTATATCATTGATACTATTTCATGATAAGATGTAATAACGTGTAAACTGATAAACAGTAAACAAAAATGAAGGACACAGTACTTAATGAATATACTCTCTGCGTAACGTATTTTTTCAAGTAATATGTATGAAGATTATGATTACCCTTGACATGACAATGTGTCCCAAAAAACTCACATGGCTACAAAGACGATATGCATGGAATGTAATGCGGCATATTGCAAATACCGTTTGTTTTTTTAGAATCGGCTTCTCCTTTAATGGTAGATTCTATAGCGAACAGCAATTGAGCTGCTTTAAAATGGTCTGTAAAAAAAGTTACGTATTATTGCCTATCAAATATATAAAAACAACAAATCATGAACATATCATTAGTGTCTGTATTACGCTTCAGAAAACCCAGTCCAGATGACTTCAACTTACCTATGGCTAAGTATGCAGATCAGAATAACAGCGATGGCTCCGAAGATGATTAATCCGATTACAAGTGGGTTCGTGGTTGACTGGGCAGATGGAACCTTGGAAGTAGTTGCATCTGAAACATTACCATAATTGTGCAAATAACAATAAACTGCGGCTTTAATAGGTTAAATAATAAGTTTGATAATACCATGTTCGAATTTCTATTTTCTTTATTTTTCCTGATGCATTATCTTAAGTGTACAGTTATTCATGTGTATTCATCTGTTACGTTTTGTGCAGGATAGCATCACAACATAAAGTTAATATACACAACCGATCAGTCTGCAGTGAAAGATACGTACCAAAGGTTATCACTTGTAGAATGTCAATACAATGTCCACCTTTGCGTTCACAAAGGCCTGACTGGCAGTTAGTGCAGGTCTCTTTGCAGTCTACTCCATAGTACCCGTCCATACATTCAAAACAGAGGCCGGTTTTCATCTCACAAACATCATCTTTACAGTTGTAGCATCGCAGATGACACGTTTCCTTATAGTAACCATTAACACACTTCATGCAATGGCCTGTGGTTTGATTACATCTCATGTCTTGACATCTGGTGCTACATCCGTCTGCACATTGTTGACCACTAAAGCCATCTTTACACCCATTCAAACACCTGCCTGTGTGTTGATCGCATACAGATGAACATTTTCCGGTTGCACTCAGTTTAGGCTGGCAAAATCGAAAACAGTTTTCCGAACAAGGACTATTACATTGATGCATCCTTCAGGGCAGCCTGAACTTGAACACTTTCCCAAACAGTTGGTACAGTCAGTTTCACAGTTGTCTCCAGTGTAATGGGTGTCACATTTCTGACATACCCCAGAAGTGAAATTACAAAGTCTACATCTAGGCAGACATTTGTCACCACATACGTGGTTATCCGAGCACTGTTTCCTGCAGACACCATTCCTGTAGCATCCTTCAGAACAGGTAATCGGACATTCATTCTCACAAAATTCACCTACATGACGTTCTTTGCATTTCATACAATCATTTGCTCTTCGTTGGCCACATTTTAAACAGTTTGGTAAACATGGAATGTTGCATAGTTTCCCCGAATATCCATCTTTGCAGCCATGTTCACAGACAATGATTCCAACAGTAGTCACTCTGCAGGTTCCCAAAAGGCAGTTATTACCTGGTGAACACGCATGAGTTGAACTCGTCGAAGTTGTTGCACAGGGTGGTTCCCTACACGTATCACTCATGTTTAAGACTGAAACAGGACAAATGGGATAATCAGTATGTTGTGTTGTTTCACATAACAAGAATATAAAGGTCTAAACTCACATATTCATTTATAATGATATCGCCACTCAACAGAAGCAATACATGCTTGTGTTTGAGTTCCAAAACAATACGCCCCATGGTCCTATACCAATTTAAAGATTGCTGTAAAATGTTGATGACTATCTCTGTCGATCTAGAAACTGATCAAGAAGATAGTTAATGTGTGCATGTTCTCACTATGATAGGTAAATTGCGAATGCCCAACTTGTCATGCATTCTGATAAATCAATATAGAATTTGGACGGATGCTAGTACGTTTTGGGTCTAGATCATTCCCTTAACCAGCTTAGTACTTGATGTGTCTCCATGTTAGCAAATAGACTTACAGTTATTTTCAGAGTGCTAAACATTATTATTTCCTGTGTATCCGTATTCATTATAATGCATTTGTAAAAATATACCCAGGATGTAGTTTCACACTCTCATTTATGAGACAATACATACCCGTTTTCTAGATAGCTGCCAACGCAATACATCTCCATATCCCTGAAGAGTACCTGAAATATTATATATTGTCTATATATTATGACAACTCATGACCATATGCATACTGTTCTATATTCAAACCAGTTACACACCTGACGAAGGGTATGAGTGCTTCTGTACAATCTTAAAATAGTTGCACGGCTACTTTCCAGAAAGAAGTGAAATAAATGCCGAATATAACATTATTTCCACAATAACGGGACTAATTGAAAAGACTTACATTCTATACATCTGCTCCTTGTTTTCGACGAAAACGATCTGATGCTAAACAGGAAATATTCTCTCAACAGTCAATTTCCTTACAAATCAAAACGGAAAGAAGATCCGTGTATTTGCTCTTGGCTTGTTCTTCCCCCTCGGTGAATTTGTGTTTGTTTTTAAAATTATTGAAAATTCTCAAGACAGGAGGCAAATCATAACAGTTCTAACAATTCTAAACTAAACATTCTTTTCACACAACAACTTATCAGTATACAAAGGTATTACAAACTACTGACCATGTCAAATAAATATCCAGTTTCCAAACTCTCTAAACGACCTAGTGTTCTATCACCATGTTGATTGACTATAAAATATGATACATGTACATTTCTTGCCTTACATGATCTACTGTGCAAACTACCAATATCCTTATTGGCGACAAGATATGAAACGTACATTTCTTGCTTACAGATGCTAGCATGGCCTTTTGGAATCTACTGAATGCGATAATCATTGGACAACTGTGTAAGTATGCCGGAACGTATTGTATCATTGAGAACATGAGGCAGGTATGCTGACGCGTTAGCTCACCTGACAAAATGTTTTGTGAATTTATAGCATAGAGGATCTCAGTGCCTTAAAGAATTCACTTTCCATCCATCCTCATACTTAATTCAGAATGATGTGAGATAGGTTGGGGGTGTTTTAAGGTTTTTGCTGTAGATGAGGAAAAAACCAGACTTGCTTTATTGAAGGCTTCAACATTAAAGTTAGGGCTGGATGGAAGGGAAAATATTATGGCTCAGGGTCTGTCAGGCATTCCAGTTAACACGGTACTAATCACTCATTGAATGCACAGTTTTGAATTCAAATATATTCAATATTATTATATTCTTTTTGACAATCTTATATGGCCAAAACGTGTACATATAAGAAAATATTTATACTCCTGTGTTCAATAATTGTTCGTTGTTGGATAAAAACGAAATCATTTCATCAGGTCATGTCACTAAATAGGCCATAATTCTCTTAATTTGATAAATGGTATAAAATGCTGTATCTGTGACACTTTGACAAATAATCAGTAGAAGGATTTATATGATAACAACACAGTATTCTTCTGGATGAAAGAATAAACTGCTTGATGTTACAGCACATACCTTTAAGAACAAATGACACTTCACATACTAAATGGCTACTTGCTAGTGGTAAATTAACTGCATATGAACTGTTCTGGTTATGACTTTGAATGCCACACTTGTACAAGTCAAATATAATATAGTAGAATGGTGTGTTCTTGCTGTATCTAGTACTTCGTTCATATTTCATGCTTAGGTGTCTTCAATGTTGGTGGTTCCGAGTACAACTGCCTGTCTTTGTCGTCGTCCTTGACGTGTGGGGAATGTTATATTGGCTGGTATGGTGATTACTGTGACAAGGCATGTGACTGTAACCCTGGTGGATGTAACAAAGTAACAGGTGTTTGTATCCAGTGTCAAGCTGGCTATTACTCCACAAACTGTTCACAGACATGTCCACCTCAGTGCAGAGAGAGCTATGATGACCGTGTCTTCTGTGGCCGTACAACAGGAAACTGTCTGGAAGGGTGTAAACAGACATGGTGGGGGGATAAGTGTGAACACAAGTGTGGAAAACAGTGTAATGATTCAATTTGTTTCTTCTATGATGGTTCTTGTGCATCTGGTTGCGTACACGGGCTTACCGGGACTCACTGTAACAAATCCTGTTCAGCTGGATGTTTGGGAGGCAACTGCAGGCAGCTGAATGGCGTTTGCCCCCGTGGATGTAAAACTGGCTTCTACGGGCGTACCTGTGACAGACGATGTACTGATAAATGTCAGCATAAAGATTGCTACACGCGGATTGACAGAGACAGGCCAACCTGTACTCGTGGCTGTATACCTCGCTGGAAGCCCCCTTTCTGCGATATCCCGTGTCCACCTTACTGTTTATCCTGCACTGAAGCTGGAGTGTGTACATCATGCAAGAAAGGCTTCACAGGGAGCAGATGTGAGAAGAGATGCAACTGTCGATCTAGTTGTAGCGACGACAAACTGTGCGATGGATGTTCCGATGGGTGGCGGGGACAGACCTGTGAGTTGCCCTGCTCCAAAAACTGTCTGATATGTCAACAGGAAAGTGGTAACTGCACAGCATGTCGCCAAGGCTTCGCGTATGATGGACGAAGTCAATGCACCCCTATCATCCAAGGTAAATGAATTTATCAATATAACCATGTCACATGCTCGTTATCAATAGATCGACTGTCCATGAATACACAATGCCCTGAATAATTAATGATGTTTAAATCGTGGTCAATGCAACAACTGTTTATCTGAATATTACACTTTCCCAGTAAAGTGCAGTTTCTAGTACTTTTAGAGTTGTGTTGATATGTTTTTCGTGTGATATGGGAATATTTTTGTAGTAATAATAGGATATTCTTGTCCAAACTTCAACTCTGTTTTTTTTTTCTGGGATACTCCAAACCTGTTCCATTATTAAAGGCCTGCTGATTGCATTTAATTACTAAACACGAGTTACTAAATTTGATTATTGTGTTGGGATCTAGTATGTTTTTTCAGTATATATAATAGGTGTTTGAAAAATGAGCCAGGCATGGGTACCCTGAAAGAATTATATGATTAATGTTTCAAAGATCAAACATATTCCTAATTCAACTAAGAATGTCTAGTACAATTTACATTTCTGCACACATAAATGGCTTTTACTTTTACTGAAACTGCCTCGAAAATACAACACCCACGACCTGTATCTGGTCGTGAAAGAAAAGCATCGTGTGTTTGGGATAAACTAATGTACTTGTAGAATAGAAGATGATCTTTTTTCGCAGACACTCCATTGAGACATATTTCCTAGAATGTTGCTCTTTCATGCAGTCACAACCGACGAGGTCCCGATTCCAGGGCAAGATTCCAAAGTTCCTGTTCTGATTATTCTCATCATAGTTCCTCTCATCATAGTTGCAGCAGTCTGTATTCTGATCTATATCAGGTACGTTTATGATTATTTTGACCATGTATATTTCAGTATTCTTTTATGCCATAACGATGAAGTGTTTAAACATATTACGCGTTAGATGCCTGGAAATATGCTTTGACTGCAACAGATGAGACAAGAAAGTATGTATATCGAATAAATAACTGTCTTTGCATTTAAAATACAATGTACGAATGAATAGTATGTATACTCAGCAGCAAAAAAAAGTCATTACGAATTCAAAATTAGATAAGCACTGTAATCAAATCATTACAGAAATTGACATAATAAGCGGATCAAAAATATTTTTGCGTACAATATCTTGACACATCAATGAATAACTCAAGACAATTTCAAGACATTTCGTGAACGTTTGCAGTCTATTCAGACTCTTGACTTCAGTATCTAAAGTGACCACCACGAGCAGTAATAACTGCAGCACAGCGTCCATGCATGGAGTGCACCAATAAATCGGCTGTGTTCGGCCTTAGTATGACATTATTCAGTCTCCTCTGAATTTCATCCCAAAGATGTTCAATTGGGTTTAAATCAGGAATAAGGGTTGACCACTGCATAATGTTGACACCGTGTAACTCTGGCAGCATGGGCCCGGGCGTTATCATGCTGGAAATGTTGTTTCGGTGACGTGCGAAAAGTGGTTTGACTTGGGGTCTGAGAGCTTGGTCGATATAGCGCACCGCTGTGACGCAGCCTCCCTCTCCCTGGACCAAGGTTCTGGAACACCACAGAACCCACTCTCTGGTTTAGACCTATTCCACCCCATACCATGATGCTTGCACCTCCCCATGAGTCTCTTTCCCTAAGACATTGGTCTGATTAACGCTAGCCACGTCGTCGCCATATTCTTGTTCTGCCATCTGCAGTTGATACGCAGTACCGACTCTCATCTGTGAACAGAACAGTTCTCCATTGCCTGTATCGCCAGATTTGGTGTTGTAGGGCAAACTGTAGACGTTCACGCCGATGACGAGGGGTGAGGATAGGTCCACGGTAAGGTCTGCGGCAATGGAGGTTCTCGCTGTTAAGACGTCGGCGTACTGTATCAGTACTGATTGGTCTTCCGTGTGTTCCCACTGTCTGGCGTGCTGTTTTGGATGCCTGCATGAAGGGATTCTGTACATGCTGTCGCACAAAATGACACAAATGTCGTCTTGTGGTCTGCCAGTACGGGGGCGATCATTTGTGGTGTTGGTGGCCCGGAAACGTTGCTGCAGGCTGTAGATGGCCCGAACGTTGACCTGGAAGTGATTGGCAACGGCTTTGTGCAGTATGGCCAGCTTCAAGTCTTCCTAGCGCCTGATTCCTCTGAGCCGTCGTGAGTGGTGGCATCCTGCTGACGTTGTAATGTGAATGTTTCAACCAGGTTTGGGGGTGCATTTTATAGGGCTGGACCTTGTGAAGAGCACGTGCAGCGTGAGTTGCATGAAGAACATGGAGAACACCGTACCATCTCCGAGATCAGGTTGTGTTTTGAGACCATTTCCTGGGTTCCATTCTGAGTTTGGGAAGGAATGTCTTTGCTCAGATAAAGTTGGAGATGTTTTCAAAAATATACAATCAAAACATTAAATGAGTTTACAGTTATCCGTTTCTGCGACGGAAAATTCCAAACTGACGTTTCTTTTGCTGCTTAGTATATATTCAGTGGGGGTATCTGAAGGAAGCTCATAATTATACCTAACAAATCATCCTGACAGTTAAGAAATCGCTTCTTTCAGTTTTGAACCAGATGAGTACTCGTGAAGATCTGGGTTAGAATTGGTCTTCGGCAACCTATGCATGTCGTGAAGGGTGGCCAGGCTCGTTTATATCGTTGACATCAGTCAATTAATTGTGTAGATCGATGCTCAGGATGATCACTGGATTGTCTGGTCCAGTGAACGAAAAAACATGTCAGTAGCCATAATCAATAATCCATTTTTTCATTAGTTTTAGGAGACGAATGCATCGTCAGGAGACTTACAGGGACAAGTGGGTGCAAAGATTGGTAAAGTGCTAAATACTATCAGCCGCACACGCAAGAATATGTCTAGTAGGGCTATCCATAGTTTAGGGTTTAGGTTAACCGTTTGTGCTCATTGACGTAATCTATTCTAAACACAAGTTATATTTGCAATGCAAGCCATAGGTCCCAGAAACGTTCTAATTGTGATATATATGTTTATGTTATAGTTAATCAGACTCCTTTACTCATTGGCACCAACTATGTTCATGAGGTTACTCATAATTAAACAATATTAGTCATCCTGACAGTTAATATATTGCTTCTTTTAGTTTTGGTGACTAAAAACGTATTTTAGTCTATGAGTCTTGACGACAAGCCTAAATGTATTGATTTTTCCATCACAAGGGATAAATATTTCAGTGTTAAAACTGTTGGAGATCTTTTAAATAATGTCAATTATCATTTTATTATCGAACTTTTATAAGAAATTGAATTGATTGATACATTTTGAGTCTTGTGTTTTGTTAATGGATGTATTTTTTATAACTGCAAGTTTCAGTCCAGTTACTGAGATTGTTAGTGGCTGTATCCTCAAAGGGGTTTGAAGTAGCGTAAAATTATTGTCCTGCTGAGAGAATACATAAGTCCCAAAACATTAAAAGTCAATTTAATCTCTCCACTCTTTTAATCGTAGAATATGTGACATTTTAATGTATGGCTAGATTGCTCCGAATTGCAAACAGCTGAAGGGAAGGTGTAAATCCAGCTAGGGTCCATGCGGGAAGCAAATGTACTGTAAGTCCCCATGGTCTCTAGTATGGTGATCTACCTTCAGTTGTTGGCAATCTATAGCCTGTTTTATATTGTATTGTTCTCTTAAGAATAACGTTTTATAATAGCATGCTAGTTTTACTTTAATAATATCTATGATACACTGGTAGTTTTACTGTTCTTCGTCAACAGGCTTTTAATTTTAATTTTAATTTTAGTTTTATTCTTCTATAATACAATAATTATTGTTATCGTCACGATATGGCTGAAATATTGCCGATGTGACGATAAATTTTAACTCACTCACTCTTGACGACAGGGCTATTGGCGTTATGTTTATTTCAGATATAGATCGCTCATTACAGTCAGTTGCTTAGTAAATGAAAAACCATGCCAGAAGCCAACTGTCAATAATGCTTTTTTCACCCTTATTTGTAGGAGACGAATGAGTCATCAGGTTAGTATAAGAGGATACATAGGTGAGTAAATTGCTAAATAGTTTCATCAATAATATTCTAGTGGTGTTTTATTAAATGTAGGTTTTTATAATATACACATATTCCATTTCAATGTCCAATTTGTTCTCGTCACGATATGGCTGAAATATTGCCGATGTGACGTTAAATATTGACTCACTCACTCACTCACTATTAAATGTAGGCAAGTTGCAGATCTCCCTGTAAAATAGGGTAATCCTTTTGTTAAATGTATTCCATTCATCAGCACATAGTGGGTATTTTGTTGGTTAACCACGTGTCGCTATTAACTTACTCGAAACAAGTTCTAACTGCAATGCAAACCATACGTTTAGTTATGCATCATTCCAGAAACATTTTAAATTTTATGCATACATTTCTATTTTATTTAGTCAGACTCTTTATCATTGGCACGCACTAATTTCATGAGAACTGTGATTGTAGCGTTAGAGCAGGACATTTTAAGATAACATTACGTTTATAGCATCAGTTGTATTCACTCATTTCCCGTGATGTATTCATATAACGTTAGTCACTAGTTTCCCTTTCAGGCTATATAAAATTTCGAAATATTTGAGACTGATTTATTACTAGTCTGTTTTGCTTTAAACCGGCATAGCTTGTTAACTCCGGTTGTTTTCATTTTTTTAGATCCCGTCACAATGCCTCGCAACTTGGAGGAACAGCAGGAATTACAGATACACAGTATGTGCCTTGCAGTACAGAAGAGTGATTCCAAATCCGCCACCTCTGCGCAAACATCCAAGTCCATACAGACCACAACATGTATTGCATCCAAACAATTTCGACCAGAAAGCATAGAAGCCAAGGAAACTTCTAAAAGTCATCCACGTCAAAAGACCCCAACCTGCCATGAACAGAGGTTGTGATTATTACCTTCTAACACCGTCCTACCATCCACTACATACATACATTATATATACTCTTCAAAAAAGTAGGGGAACTCCATAATGATTGATAATAATGAATATTTGAGAGTGCATCACCACTTGCACTTCCTTATAACCATAGGGAAACTAGTTGGTTGTACACAAATCGCTCTTATTATACTGACTCCGAGCCGACCAGTCCTTGTTGTACCCATTAATGCTGAGCGCCAGGCAGGGACCAACAAGTACCATATTTTAACGTCTTTTGGTATGACGCGGTCGGGGATCGAGCCCGCGACCTTCCGCTCTCCGGGCAGACGCTCTAACCACTACACCACGGAGGCGGTCTCCTCAATACAAAGAAAACCAAACAGATGGTGACAGTCAAAAAGGAATATACAGCAAATACCAATACCTGTTACAAAATAATACCAACAAACACTGCACCGTTTACGTAAACTGAGGTCTTTTAATGATAGCAGTTTTATTTATTTTTTGCTTATTAAAAAACATCCGAGTCAGCATACATTGCCATTGCCTATAACTCTTTAAATCAATAGGCTTAAATGCTTAATGTGTTTGCCCCATGTACAACAATCTCTTGCTATGGTATCTCATCACAGCATCTGATGTGATATTTATTGCCATAGCCTTAAATCAGGAATAATAATCTGTATAGTTATGTTTTCGTTGAAAAGTAATACATGAGTTCTAAATAACTAAACACTGAAGCTGTCCTGTTATGTTTGGTTCGTGGATATCGTCAAAATGATCTTCAGCAATCACGGGTGCCATTCAAGAAACACTTGCTCGTTCACATACACAGTCAGTGCCCTCCAGTGTGTCGAAGATTATACATATACTTCACTTTCCAAGTGATGGGTCATGTAAAATGCAATTTCAATGCGCTGCAATTATAAAAAATATGTTAATCAGCATTAACACAGTCTATTGTTAACATATGAATGAACAATGGTGATTCACAGTTTATGCTGTGAAGGATCGAGTTTCGGAGGATACATCCAGAATATTTTCTGAAACAGGTTGCAAAACAGTATCCTATAATATCAGATGCTACGGACACATACCATATTATATTACAGTGAAAACACTCTCATTTCGTATTTTGGAGTGACCTAAACCATCCAAAACTGGCATACTTCCCCGTTCAACGTGTTTTACCACAGTTTAAAGGCTACATTCAGTAAAGCTAAGTCTATAAGTATACTATCATGCATTCATGTGGGAATGTAAGGTCACTTAAGCAAATTATGACTTTCTACCAAGAAAAAAGAATACTCGTCATAGGTCTTAATCTATTGCTCATCCCACTGGGGAACCATGCAGATAGTAGAAGCATTATAGTAGAAGTCCCGATGGTCTCTTGTAATGTTAACCACCTTTAGTTGGTACACAGCCTGTTAGGTTCTTTAGCCGATCTTTGTCTGATTCTTATATTTTTAGAATTAAGACACAGTTCCTAGACCACATGATGTATAGGTCTGTGGCGTGGTCCACAAGAATTGCTATAACTTTCTATATATGAACCAAACAGAATACTGATAAGAAGTGAGCGTAACCTTATGTAAATTTTTATATTGTTATATACAAATGTTAACTGGAATTCTCTGTTTTTACATGTTATTGTTTTAGGACTTGATGTGTGTGGGAGACGTTAAACAGAGAGAACTGAGTGCAACATTATGGTAACTTTGATATTATGGTATACAAACTGTTAACTGGAAACAATTTGTTTATGAGATGTTACTGTTTTATTAATGTATTGATGTGCGTGTTAGAAGTTCTTGTTGTTTTAAACAGAAACTAGACAGTATTCTTAAAACTATATTGAGAATGTTCCTGTATGTATTGAACCATATTTTATGACAACAAGAGTTATTTAAATGATCTCTGGAATATTCTGATTTTATAATCGATAAAACTGGCATAAAGCATGAGTAAAAAGTCACTATCACCAAACCTTGGAGGAAATCGAATTCACTTAATACATGCTATACATTCTTCATACTGAGTTTTACATCAGTTGTCTCGAAAACATTGCAATATACTTGTCTGTTAAACATACATAACATGTACTTTGATGTTTCGATATATACATGTACATTGGAGATTGGACGTTTTTATACAACCACATTATGTTACAATGAGACTATAAGTTTGTTTGAACATATACAGTCAGTTTGGGGTAATATGTCAATCACTCATGACAAACTGGGATAACCAAACCACTAACAAGCCATATGATATTCAATAATGTCTTTCGTATTATGTTGTATGACGACCATGCTATAAAGAGAACGTTCACATGTTACTAATGTTTCCTTTAAAGTAGATAGGAAACTCTCATTCTTATTATTTTATTATGTTTTTATGTTTCTACTTTGAAACAACGCTTTACTGATCAAGTTTACACTCGAGCATTATAACATATTTTGGCTGACCTGTAAAGTAAAACAAGAAAACTGTAATAGGGGAAAATCATATGATAATTTCTCCAGTGACTGAACAGGAAACGTGACAACCGCATTCAGGCAAATGAAACTAGCAGCTACTATGGACTTGAAATACACCAAAGGGTTTGTACGTAATGTCACACCATTGAATGTACAAGAAAACTGAGAGTAGATTTTCAGGGTTTAATTTCTCAAAGCACAGGGTTTAAAATCGCAAGCATTTCAGGAGCTGACAGACAGAATATCAAATGCTAAAAAACAAGTGTTCTTAATAAATGCATGTGGTTTCTATACAATAATCCACTTGTCCACATTTCAGTTAACCAGCAGAAGTCCCAAATAAGGCAACTATTCAGAATTTTATTTCAAAACAGACAGGCCTCTTTAGGCATCATTTGTTAACTTGGTCTATGTTCGTAAGTTTCACTATTGTTTGGGTTCCAATGTCGTTACATGCCGTATTTTATAAATTCTGTTGAAATACCAATTGCACTTTCAATACTGTTACAAAACACACTTTATTAGTGATACATTTTATTTCATAAACAGATTTTTACAGACGTGTGTAGACAGTATAAAAAATACTTTTATTTCACCTACAATTATCCTAAAATCCCATCTCCCGGCATATTTAATAGAACTATCACAAATTGGTCATGGCAATCAGAACAGAAGTACTTCAGCATGTAAAGGGAGATAACTTACAGTATTACAATAAAACGTCTCTACTGTTCATTGTTCTTATATGCTACTTTGCTCTTTTGATACAAAAGTGTTTTACTTATATCATATTTTGTATTTCTATAAATGGATATTTACTAACATTTACAACATATGTGATACATTTTACTACTAAGTAAAATATATTTGACCCATTCGGTTGCTCAGTTTTTGGTACCTGTAATAACACTTGACAGTAATTTGAGCATAAATGATGTTAAGAGTTCTCTTGATTCCGTTGCATAAATTAACAAAACGAAACTATTCTCGCAAGATCATTGGTCATTTGTAAATCATTTTGACGGCCGATTTGCCTTTCAAGCTTAATGAAATCTGTTTCCGCATGTAAGTTGCATAATCTGAGAACAATCCCCCTTCTTCATCACACCATCATGGCATCAGTTGTGTGTAGTGTGAAGTCTTCCTAGATCGGCGCCAAAACAACTTTTAATCCTCGATACGAAGAAAACCAAACAGATGGTGATAGTCAAAAAGGAATATACAGCAAATACCAATAACTGTTACAAAATAATACCAACAAATACTGCACCGTTTACGTAAACTGAGGTCTTTAATGTTAGCAGTTTTAGTTTCGTTTTCTTTTATTCCAAAACATCCGAGTCAGCATACATTGTCATTGCCTATAACTCTTTAAATCAATAGGTTTAAATGCTAAATGTGTTGGCCCCATGTACAACAATGCCCATGCTATGTATCTCATCACAGCTCTGATGTCATATTTATTGCCATAGCCTTAAATCAGGAATAATAATCTGTATAGTTATGTTTTCGTTGAAAAGTAATATATGAGTTCTAAATAACTAAACACTGAAGCTGTCCTGTCATGTTTGGTTCATGGATATCGTCAAAATGATCTTCAGCAATCACGGGTGCCATTCAAGAAACACTTGCTCGTTCACAAACACAGCCAGTGCCCTCCAGAATAATCACTGACACATCTGATAGACTTTGTTTTGTGATATATGTTACTTCGTTGTATTTGTTGTTGTTGTTATTTCTTTGGGTTTTTTTTATTGTTTCCCTTATGTTATATCATGTATGTTATATCATCTATTTGACAGTCCCACCTGTGTGTCGAAGATTATACTTATACTTCACTTTCCAAGTGATGAGTCATGTAAAATGCAATTTCAATGCGCTGCAATTATAAAAAATATGTTAATCAGCATTAACACAGTCTATTGTTAACATATGAATGAACAATGGTGATTCACAGTTTATGCTGTGAAGGATCGAGTTTCGGAGGATACATCCAGAATATTTTCTGAAACAGGTTGCAAAACAGTATCCTATAATATCAGATGCTACGGACACATACCATATTATATTACAGTAAAAACACTCTCATTTCTGTATTTTGGGAGGACCTAAACCATCCAAAACTGGCATACTTCCCCGTTCAAAGTGTTTTACCACAGTTTAAAGGCTACATTCAGTAAAGCTTAAGTCTATAAGTATACTATCATGCATTCATGTGGGAATGTAAGGTCACTTAAGCAAATTATGACTTTCTACCAAGAAAAAAGAATACTCGTCATAGGTCTTAATCTATTGCTCATCCCACTGGGGAACCATGCAGATAGTAGAAGCATTAAAGTAGAAGTCCCGATGGTCTCTTGTAATGTTAACCACCTTTAGCTGGTACACAGCCTGTTAGGTTCTTTAGCCGATCCTTGTCTGATTCTTATATTTTTAGAATTAAGACACAGTTCCTAGACGACATTATGTATAGGTCTGTGGCGTGGTCCACAAGAATTGCTATAACTTGCTATATATGAACCAAACAGAATACTGATAAGAAGTGAGCGTAACCTTATGTAAATTTTATATTGATATATACAAA